GGTAGGCCTTCTTTTGAGCAAACAACCTACAATATTCAGGTGGTGAAACGCCATGACAATTTCTTGGCCTGCCCACTATACTCTCACTGCTCATCCCAAAACTGTAACATTAAGTAAAACATGCATGGCATGGAGGTCGACATGACAATCTGGTGAGTGGCCTCTGTGACCCCCCCTTTGAAAAATCCTGGCTACGCCCTTGTATATCAGTGCTAAGAGTGAAAAGTATCTAATTTCTTCCAAACAGTATCACCCCTGGAATCAAACATTAAGGTCACAAGAATAAGGAAAATGATAGCAAACTCAAGATTGAAGCTCTTGATTATAGGACAAATTCTCCTTGTCAGCACCTTAGGAAATGTATAGAGTACAGTATGGAGAATATGCATACTCATGTAAGGGCGTAAAGGGTTTAAGGTATATTTGTAAACTTACTCTTTGCCTTTCATCGACGAACTGTTTGAGATTTTGCTTGTCTAGCTCTCTCTGTCTCCTGGAAAATGGTAAGAGAAACGAGATAATTATGTCCAGAAATGCATGGCAGATTTGACAACATTTTGTGGACAATTTTGATAGATTTGAAGTAATCTATCAATCCATGGAACTGATGTCAAGAGTAAGGTTTTTGAAGAAATTACACATGTGAAAAGGTATGACCTGGCTAGAAGGGTCCCAAAGAGTAGATGAATTCGGCGAAAGTGATGATTCTAATTAAAAGAAATTTTGCCAAAGTTGTTGATGAAATTGAACGGTTTGATGAAATTTTGTCAAATCTGCTATTTTTGTTAACCCTTTAACTCCCAGAAGTGATTAACATGTAACTTCTCCCAATAATATCCATATATTATCCAGCAAACAGGTAATGAGAATATTCAAACTTATCAGGTAGAAATTGTTACATTGATTGAACACTAAATTTTCGTAACTAATTTACAAGGAAATGCGTAGCAGCTAGAGGGGAGAATTAACAATCAGATCTTGGGAATTAAAGGTTTAAGAAACCAGCTGAGCCTATGCAACAAAATTAATAACCCAAGAAAGAAATATTACCCATGGCATGTTTAGACGAATAAACTACCAACACTCAGACTGAAAAGATGACGGGGGGGGGGGGGAGCTGGGAGGGACAAGGGAGTTAACACTGCCCTGAAAAGCTACCTTAGATGATAGGCCTATCCAGTTTGTTAGTAATATCAGTTTATAGTAGCTCGCATTATGTCTCCTATCCTCTGCTGCACTTTACTTTCATTGATGATTACAATGAAAAAAATACCTGTCCCTTTCCTCTTTGGACTGGATATTTTTGTCCTGTGCAAGTGCTTTGGCAGATTCCATTGACTGCTTTGTCTGTTTCTTTGTTATCTCGACATTTTCCCTTTGGAAAAAAAAAAGCAATAATAAGATATGAAGGTTTAAAGGAAGTTTATTTGTTTGAAAAATTCTAGTCAAATGTGACAATTTGTACCTCTTATTTTGCACCTTTGTTTAATGACAGTTCAAAAATTCTACATAAATACAAATACTTACTTTTCATGTCTTGCAATAACCTCTTTTACTTGAGTTTCATGTACAGAATCCATCACTTTCTTCAAAGTCTCAAGTTGCTATAAAAATAAATTGTCATTCATGGAGTATTTAATTTTCTCCATGAAAGATTAAAACTAAACTATACTGCAGTTGTGGAAAGAAAGAAACAAATAAATGTTATATTAGTATGATCCAGTTATTCCACTCTCTAGAATATTCAACTGGTTCACATAAATAGCTCAAACTGACAAGAAGTGTTGTGTTGATGCCCCAACCCTAGCTTCCAGTGTGGTAAGCATCTGAATCATCTGTGCGAGGGTTTCAATAAGTGGTCACCACTTCCCATAAATACTCCTGGGCAGGGCTAGGGAGGGAGGGAGGGAGGGAGGGAGTCAATGGGTGGAAAAAACTGGGTTCCCAAAACTATGACTGGTTTGTCACTGGGACTTCCAAATGAGTGGAAGTGCTAATTTTTCCTGCATATGCCAGTTAAATGCATCACATCGATGTATTTTACATTCAGTAATTCAAAGTTGAAGGATTTCAGAATTGCTCTCTGGGAATTATTAGCTCTCATATGACTCATCAAGACAATTTGCAAAAGCAAATTATTCTTACCATGTCTGCTTGTAGTTCATAGAGTGCAGTCTCTTCCTCAACCTGCCGGTTAATCATGTTTATCCACTCCTCAGTCTGGGTGGTTAATTTTTCCTTTGCCTGAAGTTACAAATAATTAACATCAATGATTCTAAAGTGCCCTACCAACACAATGAAAAGACAATTTTGTTTGATCATGCTCTTCGCGTAATGCAGATTCTATGCTATACCAGTTTTAAGTGTAGCTCTAGAAGTAAGCTGGTTACTGATAGTCAGTTTTTCTGCACATTCATCCACAGGTCAGACAATCTCACCCGCTTTTAGTCAGTCAATGTCTGGTGCTCTCTGTCTGTCTGTCTGTCTGTCTGTCTGTCAGTCCATTGGTCTATCTAACTGTCTATCTGGCTTCCTTTCTCCCTGTCTCAGCTGTCTATTTCTCTGTCTTTCTATCCGTTTGAGCTGTCTGTCTGTCTATCTGACAATCTATCAGTCTGTCTGTCTAACTAAGTTTCTGTCTGTCTGTTTCTGACTGTCTATCTGACGGTCTATTTGACTGTCTCTGACTATCTATCTGTCTGTCTATCTGACTGTCTATA